TTAAGGTCAGGGGTAAGGGTTCAGGGGGAGGCGTTCAAATTAGGGTTGGGAAAAGGAGAGATTTCAGAGCAGCAAAGGGTCTCTGAGTGGGGAACCCAAGGTCACCATGGAAACCACCAGCCTGTCTCACTCATGCCACTGGGAAGGGTGGGCCTCAGCCTCTGACCTCCAGGCTGCTGACAGCTGATATTCAAGAAAGAACCTCAGAGTGAAGTTCATGTACTGGCCAGATGTACTTTGACTCTGTGAACCCTGCACTGGTAGATGCAGCAACTTTTGCATTACTTGAATGTTAATTGTCTGCATTATTCTTATCTGCTATCACTGTCTGTCAATAAAATTTGCCTATTATTGAATGAAGAGGTCATAGTCAGTCTGAGAGTTTTGGGTCTACCTGGAACAAGGTATCTGGGTCATAAATCCAGTGCCAACAGCTGCAGCCTGCTTCTTCACCAGGCACTTCCCAGGTCCTGGGGACTGTTGCAGTGAAAACACATGGTCTCTCTCATGGAGAGGTATATGGCGTACTGTTTGTACCCAGTGTGTATTACAGGGTAGTTTTCAAAGATTCCTCCTGCTTCAGAATCATAAAGAGCTACCTTGTGAAGGATAGGACATGTTTGAGCTCAGGCGCTTTACATCCAAATGATATTTTACAAATGGAACTCCTTATTTTACTGTTGTGAGCTAGATCCTCAGCTAGCTTATCATCACTGAGATAAAGGGGGATGTTGGACAGTATGACCTTTATGGCTGGCAAAGTGGTGCTGAAGACAACTCTGATTTTAACACCTTGCTCCACCTCAAAAAATGAAAGTAGAAGGGAAAAAAATCAGGAAAAAACAGCAGAAGAGGAAATAAATACAGTAAGAACCACAAAAGTCCTAAAACAAAGGGACCGGAAGGACTGGGTCAGGAAGGAAGCTGCCAAAGCTTTTTTGGCTCAGCAGGGCAGGATGTGTGTATGGAGGTGGGGGGATGCTGAGACAGAAAGAGAGAATTCAGTGTCAACATAAACCAAAACCAGCCTTCTTCAGCTCTACATTTCTTTAGCCCCTTGTTGGGCTCAACAGTTCTGCTTCTACTCTCTGCTGTATCCGAAAGTCTCTTCCTCTTAAGAGTTTGCCACTGCCCCACAGAGCCAGCAGATAGCTCCAGTCAATTTTTTTTTCCATATGACAAATATGAAAATGTCTTCAGCAGCTCGTTCCTAACCCTGGGTCACACTGCAGGAATCTTCCAATTCTCTGAAGGTTTATCATCCTCTGACCAAACTTCTTTATATATGTGACACTGCATTTTATCTAAGGATCACGCCGCTTCTAAATTATCATCTGATCCCTTTCCAGAAAACTTATCATTACTTGGGAAACCAGCTTCAGTGAGACATAGGCAAAACTGAGCCACAATCCTCTTAAAGAACCATCCTCTTAAATGATCAACAGTGAAACGGTTTCAAGGCACTTAGGAAAGATATTTTCCAAGGAAAAGAGAAAGAACAACTTCATAATGTTAGCTACTCACTCATATACTAAAAGTTCACATATCAAGGATTTTACATTTTTCATGTTTCCATCTACCAGAGACACAATTGGGCACTCTGGCAGCTGAGCTGCCAGTGGTAGTAGCTGCTATTTTTGTGCCTCTCCACACCCAACCTGCCCTGAGGCTCATGCCCTGTTTGTTTGTCTCCTGCCCCCTACTTTTAGTACTAATACCAAATGATCTCTCTGGCAAAGACTGACTCCAGGGAAATGTGCTTATTATTAGGTGAAATTATGCAGAACACTAGAAAAAACTAGTTGTGTAACAAACAAAAAATCCTGGATAAATCAGAAAACAAGATGTAAGGATATAAAAAAAGACAATCCCAACGTCAAGCACATAAAGGAGCAACTGACATACAACAACTGACATACAGCTAGGGAACATATTTTCAAACTTCTTATAATTAGACAACAAGAATGATAATTTACTATGAAGTGTTAGTTTATCTAATATACATTACATTTGGAAAAATTGTTATATTCCATTTGAATTGAAATTTGCATTGATTTTGCATTTTTCTTATTATTTTGTATCTTTAATGTTTAAAATTTAGCAAATTTACCAGATTCCATTGTCATCTGAAGTAAGGCATCAAGAGCATTGGAAAGCAGACCTCTACTGGATATTTTTAAGTGACTTAATATGACAGGCACAGATTGGTACTCCAAAAATATGGTCTTCCCTTCATCTGTCTTCAAGTCCATGCAAAGGGAATCAAATGCCTGAGCCAGGTAATCAGCTGAAAGACACCAGAACATAAACACAAAATTCCATGTAAAAAATACCATGAAATTAAATAATGCTACAGATGTAAAACTGTAACAAAATTAGAGTACCAAGATATTACATTTTAGGTTAAATCCCTATTTTAAGTTTTCTTATTCATGTATTTCTAATTGACAATTTGCTGCATTTCTGTTCAAATTAGGGGATGAAGAAGTTGAGGCCACTCATCAAATTTTAAAACCCTAACTTACAAAAGTAAACATTTCTAATTTTGCTCAAGAAACAAATCACTGGCTTGAGAATATGTTCTCCTCAACACTTATGAGACCTCCATATTGACCTCAGAGATGAAGAAGCTGAGTACTTATAATAGAGAGGAAGTCTACAAGTACTCCATTCCTCTTCACCTACCTAAGGATTGAAAATAAATTCATTTTCTTCATAGTTTCAATGTATAAGTCAATTATTGTTCTGCAGTAGAGTGGCCAGCAACAGTTACAAGCTGTGGGCTGGAACAACCTGGCTCCAATCCAACACAGGCTTCCCCCATCAGGGGGTTTCTACTTCCCAGTCCCCAGCTGCAGCATGGGCCCAGCTTCCAGCTGGTGGGAAACTGAGCCAGGACTAGGCAGCTGGAAGCTGTGTCTGCACTACCACCGCTTCTTCCCACCCCTCTGCTACCCTGGCTGTGGCACAGGTACAGCTCCCCACCAGCTAGAAGCTATGCCAATGCCACAGCTAGGGGGAGGAGGGACGAAAGAAGCAATGGTGGGTAATGTGGTTACAGACAAAGCCCTCCAGGTCCATGGACCCTAATTAGTGGCTCTAGAGGCTGCATCCAACCCAGAACCTTTATGCTTCTGACCCCTATTATAGCATACTAAATGTACAAGGAATTCAGATTCAAGGTTAAACAATAAACTCCTTCAGACTCACTATGCCAGAAGAAGAGTGATTGTGCCCAAAAGCTTGCCAAGAACTTGTTTCCAACTACTTAGTTGGTCTAATAAAAGATATATCACATCTACTCAAAGAACCTTGCCTGCCTTTAAGTGCCTTAAGTAATCACAGTTGCTGTATTTCAGATCCATTCAAGTTGTTCTCGGTATTAGGGATACTAACACTCAGTATTAGTGAGAATTCATAAAACGGAAAAATGTTTGCAGTAGAAAGCTTTAGTTATAGTGCCACCTATTGGATTTAAGACACTTTAGAAGAAACACAACACAACATTTCTTAATGAACATCTCATCTGATGGATAGCAGAAAAATAGTGCTTTCCAGTGAGAGAGTAATCAAAGTTTAAATACTAGGCCTGTGCGAATAGGGAAGTATTCGATTCAGATTTGGATTCGGCCAATTCGGAGGACAGTGATTTGAATCACCGAA